GGCCGTTGGGCGGCGGTTGGCGTGGGCTCGGCTTCTAACGGCTCTGCCCTTGTCTCTCTCGCTCTCTCCCCTCCCAGCCCGGCCGGGTGGTGACATTGCTGGAGGACTGCGGGGTGAGTACTGGGGCGGGGGAGGGGTGTGTGTGTGTGTGTGCTGGCCGGCCTGGGTGGTGATGCCCACATCAGCAGCTGGATACTGATGTCGGCAAGCTGAGTGCTCTTCTGCCCTCCCGGGATCGTGTGGGGGTGGGGGTGTTATCCTCCTCTGCCCTGTTCTCAGTTGTGCAGAGGCCCCAAAGCGAGCCTGCCTTGCTGTGACGTGTTAGTGGGTTTGTCTGCTGGAGTTACAGCATCCCATAACCACCTTGCTCTTTCACTCCTAGGCATGCACGTGGGGTGTAGCTTATGAAGTTCGTGGGGAACAAATTGCTGCATCGCTCCAGTATCTCAACATGCGAGAAGCTGTCCTGGGAGGCTACGACACCAAGTTGGTAAAGTTCCACCCGCAGGAGAAAGATGCAGAGGAACCCATCCTAGCGCTTGTTTACATTGCAACACCCCAGAACCCTTCTTACCTCGGCCCAGCATCTGAAGAAGATATTGCAGCTCAAATCATTGTCTCAAGTGGTTGTGCTGGTCATAACATTGAGTACTTGCTGAGACTGGCAGACTTCATGCGCTACTTTTGCCCTCAAGCAGAGGATAAACATCTCTTCTCCATCGAAGAGGCTCTTATTTCCATCCTTCCATGCCTGTACTACACAGAGGAATCTCTAGAAGAAACTGCAAGCGTCCCTCAGAAGTCAGAGTTGAAATAAAAAACTTTTGTAGGGTCCCAGTAGAAGGGATATAAGGGAGAAAGCAATGGGGACAATCTTTACTCTGATAAAATATACTGGACTGAGTGAATAAAGGGAGAATTAGCAAGTAGTAGGGGAGGGAGGAAGCGGAGTAAAACACACTTGCTATAGGACTTGCAATTAGTACCTGTTACACTCCTTGCCTGTAGCACCACGATAGCCAACACTGCTTTCCAGGTGAGGAGCAGGGATCTTTGCTGGAACTTGGTTCTGCAAGACCTGCTTCCAGGAGTTGAACCTGAAGCACTCTTTTTCTTTAGAGAAGAAAGAGGCTCATCTATTCTGTGCACTTTTTTTTTTTTTTTTCTTTGGAGACTAGTTGAGCAGGACTTGACTGGGTTTAAGCAGTATATATGTAATTCTACCTCAGACTGGCAAAAAGCTGTTTGGTGGAGACTTGGGCAGGTTCTGCCAAATAAGATCTTTTTTCTTTTTTTCCTCTGCCATGTCCCACCTCCAGTAAAATGACCTGACACTTAATTTCAGGACTTCTGTGCAATATTAAGTGCACTGGCCTCTATAGGCTCTTGTGGATCCTACTTCCTTATGTTGTGAAGGATCACAGTAATGCACTTGTTTTCTAAAATGTCATACTGTATTTATTATGTGTTGTATTTCCCCTTAGGAGGGGTATCTGAACTGCTCACATGCCATGGTGGTGTGTAGCCTGCATTCAACCTTGTGTTTGTGCCTTCTAGTTTTAAATCAGTTTTCTGAGGAGCTAAGCCTGCTTTAATGACAGCTTTTCTCCAAGCTTCACTGACCTTGTGATGCTACAGACTTAACTGACTCCATAAGAAATGGTCCTGCCTGTGTGGGAAGTCTGTGCTGCCTGCAGGAAAGCTCTCCAGATGTAGCAGCATTTTAACTGGCCCTGTACTGGATAAACCCCTGGTGCTTCAGGATAAATGTGGGTTTCTGTAGCAGCGTTTAAGGATTCAAGTTCCGTACTGGGGTGACAGTCGGGTACGCTTTTATTTGACTGCAAAGGACCATGACTGAGCATACTTGCAAGCTTTTGAGCTACTGAATAGCCTGACTTGATCGTGTGCAGCAGAGGCACTGCTGCAAGCTCAGGCTCTTCAACTTCACATATTAACAGCATGAAAACCCATAGTATTTTGTAAGAAAACTGCTGCTACTGCAACTGCAGCAAAACAGCTCTTGAGAGCTCACCCCTGGGACATTTGACTCCTCCCAAATACCATGTGGGGTTTTTTATAATAAAAAAAGGATAGGGACTGTTTGTATTACTGTGGCTTGTATGTATATGAAGTGGTACTGTGCTGTGCCCAGTAATAAAACAAACGGACAAAGTTAGTCTACTGTACTTTGGTGTTGGTCTTTTTCATTACTGACTTGGAAGATCAAACTGATCCTTCTTCTTAAGGTTTTGTTTTTAAAAACAACAAATTTAGGTGGTAATGCTGCTGTAGTCCCTATGTTTTGTTTTTTTATTAAAAAAAACAAAACAAAACAAAAAAACCAAAAAAAACCCCTTGCTGCTGAGCAGCTTGCCTCTGCTGGATCCACTGGAAGACACTCATTGACACTTTCCCTTTGAGAAAAGGGGACTCAGTGGCTTTCTTGTCACAGCTTCCAGCTCTTGTTGATTCTGGAGCTGTAGTGCAGACAACACGTACAAGCCAGCCCTCCCAGCTGTACAGGGCAGGCATAGCAATGTAGTTCTCCCTTGGCAGGTCGAAGGGATTTTTTTTTTTTTTTTTTTTTTTTTCCCCTGAGTGTAACTTGGCATTGCTGTTTCCAAGAAGTAATAGTGGAAGGACAAGAAACTGCTGGTGCAGCCAGATCTGCTGGCTGCAGTAAGGGAGACGGTTGTTTACCTTTTCGCCTTGTGCAAGGGTAATGTGCAGCTGCCCACCTGATTCCTTTGGTTACTAGCTGCCTCAGCAGAAGCAGGTCACTGTACCTACCAGTATTACCTGCCTTGGGACTCAAGTGTTGGAGTGAAAACTAATTGAAACAACTGAATTTACCACTAATTAAGGGCAGGTGCATGTTTCAGAGATAACAGACTAGAGAAAACTATACTTTCCCTGTTCCTTGGAGGTTCTTGCTTTCAACTCAGCAGCTGCATCTCCCTGTGGGGGCTGTATCCCCCAGCTGGGAAATCAATGTGTTGAGGAATCAACTTACCTGCAGGGGAATGCTCCCTTACTAGTACAAGACTGGGGTCAGATACCAAAATATCTCCAGAATAAACAAAAACATCTTCACACCTCTCAGATTTTCAAGGGCACAGAGACACCAGTGACAGGACCCCACAGCAGATGTGCACTAAGCAACCTGTGTTGCTGACTCAGGTGGAGAGCCCCTTGCTTTGTTCATCTTGTTTAGCCTGGGTTGGCACCGTGATCCTTCACATCACTGGTAAAAGACAAGCAGCGAGTGCTTGCGAACAATCCATCAGCATTAGGAACATTCCTTCAGCTGCTGTTTCTTCTTCCCTTGAAAAAAAAAGTATTTTAAGCACAGATACACTACTTCACTGAACTACCATTTTCTTCCTAATGAGTTCTTTGTAGTGGACTTCCAAAGAAAGGACCCCATTTTCTTTTCAGGGGTGGTGAATGTGGCAGCTTGCTGCTGCCATCCTCTCACTGCATCTTCAAGTCACTAAGACTGATGAGGTATCACGTAACTTCTTTCTCCTGAGGCTTTTACTGTGTCCTGTGAGTCTGGGAACTGGTCACCTTTTGGTCAGTTGATAAATTTAAAAGGTTACCATCCCAAATTTGAACTTTGGCCATGTGAGCGTGGAGAGACGGAACCATGCAACATTTGCTATATGCCCAGCCTGTGTTTGTACTGCTGCTCAAAGACAGGGGACCACAGTGGCTTACCTCTGATGAACCAAATGTAAGGAAGATAATTGCTGCTTGGAGGCAGTCATACAGCCATGGCACTTGGTGACACACAGGGACAGTGTCCTACCCCATACGTGTTTCACTACAGGCTTCCTCTCCCCGTGTCATGACTCGCCAGCTGGCAGTGGGCGCAACTCCAGCTTCTGGCAGCTTTACCACTGGCCTGATGGACAGCCTGGGGAAGAGCACTCACCTTGTCAGAGGGTGAGACAACCACCCTCATTTGCAAAGTGCTGCCAGACGTTTCTGGAGATGCTTCCCTATCTAGTGGCTTCCTCTTGCATGTGTGGTTTTTTCTTCTCTGACTTCCCTAGAAGAAGCTGATGCCTATCACGTCACCTCCTATTAGAAAACAGTTGCAATAGAAACATTTACAAGTGCTGCCAATCACATACTTTCCAAACCTAAAACCAGCAGAATTCACATGATTTCAGTCCCTTCCTCAACCTTTTCCATTTTCCTGCCCAGCAGTTCCCACACGGCCCTGGAACATGGGCCTGAGTCACCGTTTCCTTCAGTACATTAGGACAGGACCTACCCACCTGCTTTGCAGTGCCACAGCCAGCTAAATAAAGTAGATGACAACAGTTAATCCAGCCCTGGCCTTCATATGTATAAAGCGCTCCTGAGGGCACATGGTCTTTAATAGGGCAGGAGAAAGGATAAAGAAACTCAGCAATGTTGAGAGGATTCAGAAAAGACAAAACCAAAAGAAAAAGTCTCCAGTTCTTAGGTGGTACGGTATCATCACAGTTTCAAGGTGGACCATTGAGAACCAAGGAGACTTCACACAGGTAAATCTCTACCCAGGTGATTCCAGCTTTAGTAAAAATGTAGTTTAATCACAGCATCACCAAAGTGTGAACTTCTCTGTGCTTGGTGTACTTTTCCAGATGAGCTGCCGGCTCAGAAAATTAGTGAGATCAAACTCGTATTTGTGGTTGATGGCAATACAGGCACACAGCTCAGGGAGGGAGGGAGGAGGTAGGAGACAACAGTGGCCTAGGAGAGGGGTAGGGAACAGACCAACATTGCTCAGCTGGGCGCAGAAGCAGCAGCCAATGGCTTGGTGGAGTCTACTTGAGGAGAACGTACGTTTGAGCATCCAGAAAGTGCGTCCAGCAAAGAATTTGAAGGCTATTGAGGAGCCAGTGTGGGATCTCTATCCCAGGAGGAGCTGAAGGGGAGAGGTGCAGCTCCGCATGCGTACCCGCAGCCTCCAGAGGGTCCCTGAGGCTCCGGCCACCACGTGCGGCGGGGAGAGGCTTGCAGGCGGCGTGCGAGTCACGGGGAACGGCACATGCTGGATTTAGCTGCTGTTACAGGAGCTGCAGCTGGTGGTAGGTAGCACGTGTGATACTCCATATGTGTGTCTGCTTGCCACTCACGAGACAGCCTGAAATGCAGATTTAATTACCCACAGATGTTTTGCAGGCAGAGGAAAAGCAAGAGAGAGAAAAAGCGGAGAATGCTGGACGGCCTCTGCAGGGACACGCGGGCTGACGGGCAGGTGCAAGCAAGAGGGCAGCCGGCACTTGGCTGTTATGGAGCCTGCAAAGGCTGCGCTCCAAAAAACTCTCCCCGCTGTGGTGGAGAGCAGACAGCACTGTGTACACTCTGGATACCGATGGGATGTGTCCAGAAACAACCTCTGCCTTGATAACAGCCTGTTCTTCTGCTCCTGCGACCAGGAGAGATTGGATGCTGAAGAAAGGGAAAGAAAAGAAGGTCTGCTGGGTGTCTGGCTGCACCAGGACAACTGAGACTGTCTTTGTGTAACATATCCAGCACAAAACACGCAGACGTGGTCACCTGTGCACTTCGACATTTCTCCGTATAACGCGTTCCAGATAGTTCAGTGCCAGAATGGCAGCACTGCCAACATTTAATGGTTGGACTCAATGATCTTAAAGGTCCCCTCCAACATAGACGATTCTATGATTCTGTGTCCCAAAACCTGGGAGTCAGTCTAGGCCTGGAAGTCCTTCGTGAAGCTTTAAATTGAGTTATATCACATTCAGCACAATAACCTCCTCCCAAAGGCAGAGGGGAAAACAAATGAGCAGAATT